ATGTAAAACTGCTGGAAATCAAAGTTACAAAAATGCTTGACAGCAGCCAGAAAAGGACAGTCTATGTTGAAAGAAGTAGCAATTAGAATAAAATACTAATTTCTCAATAGTATCAATAGAAGCCAGATGACATGACTTTGATAGTTGCAAAGTGCTGAAAGAATATACTTGCAAATCTGGAATTCTATACCCAGCAAAAATAGCCTTCAAAAATGAACACAAGTTAAAGAAATAATTTCAAACAAAGAAAAACTGAAATATTTACTTACCTGTGGATCCATACTGAAAAAAAACAGCTAAGGGTGAGGCAGGAGGATTGCAGAGTTCAAGGCCAGCCTGGGCAACTTATGAGACCCTGTCTCTGAAAAAAAAAAGGGGGGGGGGAATAGCTCAGTGGTAGAACTCCTGTCTAGCATGCATATGGGTTAAATCCTCAATTCTCGGGGGAAAGAAAGAGAAAGAGATAGAAACAGAGACACAGAAAGAGAACAAAAGGAAGGAAAAAGAAAAGAAAGAAAATGCAGTTTTTAGGGATCTCAAGTAGAAGCTTAAAGATTTAGGAAGAAGAATAATGAGAAAGGTAAAAATGTAGATATATCTACATGTTATTAAATGTTCCAATCTCATTACTATTTCATGAACAGCTACCTAGGATAGGAGTAGTATTGACAGTTATTTATATTTTAAAGAAGAAAAAAAACAGGAAAGGTTTATCCAAAGTTAATTTGTTCAAAATCTTAAATGCAATCCTAGCAACTGCAAAGAAAATTCTTAGTCTATATTCTCTCTACGATAATTAGGAAGACAAAGTAAAAAATTAAGAATAAAAAGAAGCAGATCAAATGATTAAAGACAAAAGTAGAAAATCCTGGCTTTGCTGATGCTTTGACATTAAGAAAATATTTTCTCACTAATACGGCTGTGAACTGGATATTTTGTTTTTCCTGCAAACCTTCCATCTGTTTCCAATTAGCTCTAGGCCAGAAAAGTCTGACCACTATATCCAAAGGTCTCTTTTCCTCTAGCTTCCAGTTGAGTATAGACAATGAGGATTATTGGCAAGGCACTAGAGAAAAAGAGGAAAGTGGGGTCCAGGTATTCATTTGCTCAGCCTGCTTCCTGCTGTGACCAAGGCTCCTTGTGTCCCTCAACCTAAGGCAATGGCTCCTGTCAGACAGCCCTTTCCTAAAGCTACAGCTATTCTCTTAGGATCCAATAACAAACCACTTCTCTTGCTCCTTCAGATAGAAATGATAACAGATCCCACTGTTGTTACATCAAGATGATTTACCATCCCTCTGTAGTGTCTCTTACCCTTGTCCATACCTACAGTCTTAATTAACCCCATTTGAATGTGCCATCTACTTGCAACCAAGACCCTGCATGCCAATTTATGACATGAATGGCAATAAAAAATACGAATAGAAACTAATAACTCAGATGCTAAAGTAGAAACAACTAGACCTGCTAATAAAACTGTGACCTTGAAAAGTTTGCTAACATCTCTAAGCCTTTCTTAGCTCATACATAAAATTAAAAAAAAAAAATAGCAGCACCTGCTTCAAAAATTGTTTAGTATTTTCAGTACATATTTTTAT